ACTTGCCATATTGAGGTTACCTAAACCTCCTCTAGAGTAATGGTGATGCCTTCTGATTATTGGTAGAGTTTGGGAGATGCTTGAACCTCCTCAGTCCAGAGTGAATTCTCCCTTTCAGGAAAGTACATCCATCCGATCTTGGACTTGAAGTGAGTTATTGCCTGACAATTTCTAGATTGGTTGGAGCCTTCTCCTTTACAGTGACCTTCCTTCCAACAATACACACACTTGTTTCTCCTTAGTCTTAGCTGAGTTTAGTTTTGAGGGTCTTGTGAGTTACCCCTTAGGCAGCAGTTGAATTAAAACAACCAAAAGCAGTGTCTTTTTTCTCTGATTTTTTAATCCTCCTTTGCTTCTTCTGGCTGGCCCAAGTTATAAACTTTGAGGGCCTCTTTCACTAAAATTGACCGTAGGGCTTGGAGTTGTGCCTCAAATTTTTGAGACTTCTAGTATCTGCAACATACTGCATCATAAAATGGGTGGCTAATAGAACTCTTGTTTGTACCAGCACTGGGTTGGTATTAATATTAGTATGCTTTTAGAAGGCTCCTGGCAAATGATTGAAAAACATAGCAGGATTCTCCTCTTTTGTTACCTCTTTAACCCTCTTATAATTGATAGGCTTAACCAGGTACTGCTTTTCCATTCCTTCTGCAGCAAGTCTCAAGATGCTTCATTCTCTTCCTATGAATAGGCTTTTCAGGATCTGTATGAAGACTGTATGGGAGCTGTGTACTTCCCAGAGCTCTTAGTTGTGGTCTGAAGTACTGCTGTCAACCATGAGGTACTTTAGCAGTTTTTCTGTGAACGCCGCCTTTTTCATTAGAGTGCAGCAATGGTTAACAACGTAATAACCCCCAAGTTACAAGTTATTCTCAACTTAATAAATGCATTTATAAATTTGTGAAGATTCTCCAAAAAAATGCCTAACCTCTCTTTGAACTGAGATTTGTCTATCACTGAAAAGGGAACACGTACGACGAAGACTTCCCCATTCCCACCCGATACTTCCTGTAATGGAAGCAGATTTCCCTGAGTAAAGTGGGGTGCTACTTTGATCTGAAACCTATCAAAGATCTGATTGGCAGGGTAGACATTGGTGAGAGGTGGTAACCAAGGAAGGGGAGCTATCAGTCGGCTCCATGTCACATACTGTAGATGAGTGAGTGAGAGGTACAGACATTTCCCAGCAAGGTGCCAGTTGGAAGTAGGTCTGTTAGGATGTCTGTGTCTGGTTCTGTTGTCTTGAGGGATTTAGAAACTGCAGCCACACAAATAACTTCATAGTAACCTGTATATAAGGGATTTCTTGCCTTTCTTTCCCTTTTATAGAACAAATCTGGCTGAAAATGGCATTACAATTCAGACACCCATTCTTTGGCCAATATTCTTGGTTTTCCTGATCTCCCAGTTTATATTGAACCAAACTGATCAGACTCTTTTTCTTTAAAACATCCTCTTTAAATTTGTACCAACTAGTTAAAAGGTATCCTACAGACAAGTCCCATGTTTGATAAGAACTTTACCAGATTGAGCATCAAAAAACCTTGACTTGCTACCTATTGGCCACTACCTAGGATAGGAGAGCTACAGCAACCAGCTACCAAAAGGAAAAGTTCCTTCATACAACACATCCTTAATACCTCTGGAAAACACAGCAACAACAAACAGAATCATAAGAAAAGACAGTAACAGACTAGACTACAACAATAGTTAGCACACTAAATAAACCTTGGGGTCAGTACTTTCCCAGACTAGTACACAATCCAAAGATTGTTTTAGCTATAAATCACTTACACAGGCATAATAGCAGTACAGAGTAGATAGCATAAATTAAATGCAAGCAAGTCTGAGGCATTCAGAATCCCTATGGAGAAAATCCATTTCCAATCATTGCTTGAACCAACAAACCAGTAAAGCCCAGTACTCTGATGCATATGCACCTGGTTTGGTGGCTTGGTTTAGCCACAGAACTACTTCCTCAAGGACTAAAGAGGTGCAACCTGCCTAGCACTTGGTTAACTCTGGGTGATCATGCCACATTCATCATGGCCCCAACCACCCTACTGTTGGTGTCTATCTACAAGGGTGATGTTCATGGTCTCACTCTGCCCTCCCAGCCAATATTTTTACATACCAACAGGTTTGTGGCCTCAACCCATCCTCCTTTGGGTGTCTAGTGTACATCAGAGTGCTCAATTATAGAACCAGTTTTTCCCAGTTGGCCAGCTGATAAGAGAGCCTTTTTAAGTACCAGAATTTTAAACCAGAAAACAGAAAGAAAAAAAATCTCACGAGACAGAGAAAAAGAAAACAGACAGAAATAGAAGGTGGCTTAGAACAGAAGGCAGAGGTGCTCAGGTGGGGAAGGCCACACAACCTGGTATCTTAGCAGTTGGCCACTTGTCATCCATGAAGGAAGCCTATACTGATTGTTACCATTGTCTGTCCTTTTCTTGGTGACCCTCGCAAAAGTTGTGTCCCATCTGGGCAATCAAATGTCACCAATCACTTGAAAGTCTTCTTGCTTTGAATTCACAAAGTGCAGCTCTTCTCATGGCTTTGGACACTGATGACCCTCAGCTCTTGGTGTTTCAGCTCTGGACTCTCATGCTGCTGGTCAACAGCAGTTAATGCTAGATTCCCTCACTCAACTCTTCCACTTGCTGGTCTCTGCCACTGCCAGCCACCACCAGTTGATGCCGTCTGTGCCAGTTGGCACCAGTTGACTCTCAAGTTGCTGCTCTCTGTTGCTGATCTTCCTTGGTTGTTGGTCTCTGGAGTCTTCAGCTGTAACAGCCCCTAGTGTTTATAACTTTAAAAAAAGTGACCATTCTGTCCTCACTACTCAGGATAAGAATTCCCAAGTAGATTTATAGGCCCATTTGAGCCCACATTCTCCAAGAAACAAATCATGAACAGATTTATAGACACCCCAGAGCAAGGCTTTACTTGAACAGGAACTGTGTTACAGTAGAAGGGGAATCGATGCACAAGAGGGAGCCCTCTAGAACAATTTGAGAAGTGCAAGGAGACTGGTGCTTACATGCCCACCAGAGGATGTGATTGGTCCAAATTTGGGCCCGTTTATTGGCCCAAACTGGCCTAAATGCCAGCCTTCCAATCTGAGTCTACCGCTTAGTCCAAATTCAGTTTTATGGCTTGGTTCAAATTCAAGCCTGCTACGGTCAAGGCAGAGTTCTCCTTAAGCCAGTATAGGGTGTCCCAAACAACTACAGCTGTCATGGTGTCAGTTTGGTGGTAGGGAGATGTGACTGTTTGATTGACAGCTGTTGTGACTCCCTGAAAATAATGGGGCTAAAAGCAGGGAATCTCTGGAGAGCTAGCTATGTTCATCATAGCTTTCTGGGGGTTGGGGAAGTTGGGGATATTAATGATGGGCCCAAATCCTTCCTTCCTTTTGCCATGTTAATTTAGACATGGTTTCTCCCACAGAAGTTTTAAAAGCCAACAACATCTGGAGCAGCTGGAGTTGGGGAAGGACCCTGCTGCTGACTTCCGTCACAGTGGCCTGGAGAGAGGCCACAAAGTGACCCGCAGGGTGGCAGGAGGACACTGGGGCAAGTTGTCCCAACCCACCCTCCAGCAACCATGGGGGAGTACAGGAGAATGCGAAGGAGGGGTGTGGCAGCTGTTGGCCAGACCGTGCCCCCTCTGGTGTCACAGGAAAGAAATATTCAGTATCACCACCTCTCACAGCAGTCCAGCAAGCTTGTGTTATGCTGTCCAGTCAAAACTCCATTGTGCAACTCCTTTTGTCTCCTCTCAGATCTCCTTCCCCTAAAATGCATGTTCTCAATTTGTACATGTGGAAATCCTTCAAGACACTTTGGACGTTGGAGCTTTTCCTGGGTATCCTACTCAGAATTCCTGTAGTATTTCCTGTAGAGGGACCTGAGAGCAGAGAAGGCTCTAGTCATCACTGCGTCCTCCTCTCCACTTCAGTGCCTTCCACTTTAATTTGCGCTCATGAAGTACTTATGGAACTAATGAATAACTACCTTACAACCAGAAGCTTACTCCCCGCTCCTGGGATGCTGAGTCTGGGAGGAGGATTCCACCACTGTTACCCGGTCATTGTCCTGGTTGAGAGTAGCCCCTGACCACAGGAGCTGTGAGCTTCCTCCTTTGTGCTATCCCAGGATTTCTGAACCACCTTCAGAAGAGAGTATGCTGGGCTGAATGCAGGAAGCTTCAGAGCTCCACTGATGGGAACAGAATTCTATGCCTATAAAGGCCATAGGGGCCAACTGGACACCACACACACCCACACACACCCACACACACACACACACACACACACACACACACACACACACACGAGTGCCTACAGACATATGCACACACGCATATGCAAAGTCTGACATTTTGAACAAATGTTCCTTGAATCTTGGCCTTGTCCATCACTGAGCTCTCTGTGGGTCAGAGCTAAATGGCTAGTTTGGAAGAAAATGGCCTGAGGTAAGCCGATGTGTTGGGATATTCAGAGCTGCTCCAGTTGGTGTAAGTTCTGCTGGTTTTATTTCACTTTTCTTCTAGCATTTCATTCATAGCACCTTTTACTGCTCCATTCACACTTCACATCCCCCATTTCTTTCATCTTTGGAGGTGCTCTTCATTGCTTACAAGTGAAAGGAGTCCTTGGGTGAAGCATTTCTTTACAAATAGGGGCTCCTTAAGTCTGAAAGAATTTTTCTCTATTTCATGACAGTTTCAGCTCCTCCCAAGACTGTATTCTCTCTTCCACCTCTCTGGGAAGCTTGATGCTTGGACTGTGCAAGACCATTAGTCGAAGTGGACACTTTAAATCCAGGCATTAGACTGTAATCCCGCTAAAAAATTTATTTCCTGTTTTATATGGTCTGCATAGAAGAGGGGGTGGAAATATGCAGAATGTTTTCCAGCACATTTCCTTCCTTCCACCCCCAATCCTGCTAAAGATACAGCATGCTGATTTCGTGACGGTGGTGGGGTTACCCAGGTGTTAGACTTTTATGTGCCCAGTTTCTTTCCCAGTGGGAGGGGCATCTTATACATTCTGTCACTGCACTGTGGACAAGTGCTGGGGCCAGAGAAGGTGTTCAGTGAGTTCATTCATTAACTGCTGGTTTTGTACCCTGGTTCCGAGCTCTACAGCAATGTGGCCAGGCATTTTCATTTACTTTTTTGCCACTTTTTATTCCCTGAAATTTAGCTCCATCCTTAAAAGTGAAATTCATTTTTTTAATTGCCCAAGACTTTAATTCTGCCAAATGAAATGTGTGTGTGCAGTGTGTGTGTGCGTGTGTGTGTATGTACATGTGCATGAGACCACACCCACACCTGGCCAGCTCCTACACCCAGCCCAGACCTTAGTACTTCTCTCTCTCCTGCTTAGTGAGCGAACCATATACCCCTCTCACTCTTCTGAACAATGACTGTGACCCACCCGCTGCTTCTGTCTTACTCTGGGATTGATGGATAAAACCCCTGGTCACTGTTAGGCTTCTTCCACCTGGTGCACAGCAGTGCCCCGCAGTGAAGACAGCAGACCAGGTCCCCACAGCCCTGAAGCGGCTCATGGTTCCTTAGCAAGTACACTGTGGTTGCTGCCTGCCAGTGTCCTGCAGTCTCCCTCTCCCTTCCCCTCCTTTAAATGTCTACCTTGTCTCACCTCTTCCTCAAACTATCTTCAGTCTCTTCAGCCCACAGGGGGAATCCCTTTCAGATTTTCTTGCATTCTTAGGGTTCCTTTAATTATTCTCAGATCTTTCCATGTGTGTTCATTTCAACTCTTTAACAAGATTGTGATTTTCTTAAGCTCCTCTGTGTGTTTGTTTGGCACCAGGGATCCAACTTGGGTCCCTGTGCTTGCAAGCCAAGTGGCGGAACCACTGAGCTAAATCCCCGGCCCCATAGCTCCTCTTGTTTTTTATGTGCTATGCTTTCTCCAATGCCGAGTGTGGTGTTCGTCATTGCTGTAGTATGGTAGTATCCATAATAATTACTATTTAATTATGTGTAATTAGAAATAATTAGGATAATACACTGAACTTGACATTGCATGAAGTGCTTTATAGGCCATTTGTTAATCTAATGACTCGGTTTTCAGTCTGTACTTCAGTGACTTAGGAAGACTTGCTCAATTGGTCAGCAGCTGTAGGTCTCAGGATGTCACTTCTATATCTGAGACTCAGCTTTTCCGCCTCTCGTCTGTTTTGTGTTACTGTGAGATACATAAAAAAGCTTTATTTTGGCTTACAGTTTTGGAGGTTCCAGGCTGAGATTTTTTTGGCCCTGTAGCTTTGGGCCAGTGGTAGCAGATCAGTCATGGTGGGGGTTTATGGTAGAACAAAGCCCCTCTTCTCATGGGTGGAAAGCAGAAAAAAAGGAAGAGGCAGAGAAGGTCTCACTCTGCCCTAACCTACACTGACCAGAAGACCTCCCCCACCCCTTTCTAAAGGTTCTACCGCTTCCCAAAGGTGCCAAGGGCTGGGTTCAAGCCTGCAACACAGGGGCCTTTGAGTGACATTCCAGACCCAGACTATAGGGTCTACACAGTGGAGAGATGGATGCCTGCTTTTCAAGGTTCTTTCCATTTTCGACTGTCTGGTTCAATTTCAATCTAATTTCCAATCACTCTTGTTTAGGGAATCCTTGCATGTACTCTGTACAGATTTGTCACTTAGAGAATAGAAAACAAATAGGGCTCAGTCCTTTCTCTTATTACATATTACATCTAGTGCAATAACAGGAAGCCAGAGGTATCTGAGGGATAGAGAACAAGGGAGCAAATTCCTTCATGAGGAGAAAGTGGGGGAGATTCCTGAGAGTCTGTTGTAATTAGAAGCTTCCCGAGGGAGGAGAGATTTCCTTTCAGTGTAAAGGAGGCAGGTGATGGAGTGGGAGTACAGAGACACCTCTTGGCAGGACTGGTGGCCACAAGAAGTTGTTCAGCAATGAACCAGTCAGGGATCTGCTTAGGAGTCACAACCAGACATTCTGCATGCATTAAATTTCCAGTGGTGACCATGTGGATATCGATGTAACATAAAACAGGAGAATCGTGACTACATCCCAAAAGTATGTGGAGCTCAGAGGAGTGAAGCATTTGGATGTGTGAGATGATCCTCTGGCTAAAGCCATTTATTTTGGATCCCCATGATCCAAATGTTTACATCTGAGACTCATCAGCTGCAGGAGAGCATCCATTGTCCTAATGATAAATCTGGATTCCTGTCATGCTATTATACAATGAATTACAACTGGCCAATAGTAGTGTTTAATGGGCAGTACGTCTCTCTTCAACTCAAAAAGGAATCGATGTGTCTTGCAAACATTTTCCAGGGAACAAAATAAAAATATGAGAGAAAATATAAGTAGAAATAATAGGGTGAGACCATAGGAAAAGGCCCACCAGAGGTGGGTTGCATACTGGGCATTTTCCTGTAGCTGGGATACAATACTCCACACCTACAATTTAAAGGAAGAGATTATTATTTTTGGCTCACAGGTTTTAGAGGATTCAGTTCATAGTCATTTGGCTCCAAGGCAGAACATCCTGGGAGGTTCTGGTGGAGGAAGCTGCCCATTTCTTGGCAGTCAGGAAGGAGAGTTAAGGGAGAAGCCAGGACAAGAATACACCTTTCCAGGTTACCCCTCTACTGACTCCTTCTAATCAGCTTCCACCTCCTGACAGCACAGTCAGGGCTCCTGTGATCCAGTCACCTTCCAGAAGCCCCACCGCTGAACATGTGAAGCTTCTGGGGGATTTTGAGGATCTAAATCATAACAGCATCTTAGCAGCCAATGCAATCTTTCTTTTAGGGAAAGATTTTATTTTTAGTATGATAATGTCATCTCCCGAAGAGTCTAAGCATTCATTCAGAGACTTACTGATGAGAATGATTTTGGATATGGGATAATCCTGTGTGCTTTTATTTATGTTGTTTGCTTTTAAGAAAATTCAGTAGAAATACAGGCTCAAAGCAAAACACCAGCCCAAGGCTGAGCTTCCGAGACCACAATGTTGATGTACTCGTGAACTTACTCAAGGAAACCCCAGTTCTGAGGCCAGAGAGAATTTCCTCTCTTTGGAAAATGTAACTGTCCTGAATGCTTTCTTTCTAGGATGGCTTTTACCTCTGCCTCCCCCCACATGCCTTCTCCCCAAAACATACTTTGCTGGCTTTGTGCCGTCTGCAGGGGAGCATGAGTGTGCCCCAAGTCTGCAGGCTGTTTACATCTGACAGCATTGGAGGAGAGCAGTGGCTGGAAGGTGCCTGGCCTGCTCTGACCTACCCCGCATTCCCTTCCCTTGTACTCAGCGTGAAGCAGCAGGAGCGCTACAGCCAGCTGACCCTGCTCAATTCCACCGCGGCCGACACTGGGGAATTCAGCTGCTGGGGGCAGCTCTGCACCGGCTACAGCTGCAGAAGGGACGAGGCCAGAACAGGCTCCACCTACATCTCTTTTATAGGTAATGTGCTTGGTACTATAGTGGGACCCTTCAGACTTCTGCACTTGGCCCAGAACTGGGATTTCCACTGCCTGCGGAATAGAAAATGATGGGAAGAGGCCTTGCTATTTGTGCTCTGGGCTAAATGCTTTACATAAATTATGTCAGGTAAATCCTACAGTGCTTCAGGGTAAGTATGAACATCATTTTTCTTTTTTCATATGAGAAAGTTGAGGTTTAGAGAGATTAGATCCCTAAGGTCACACAGCAAGTAAGTGGTGGTGTCAGGATTTGAACACAGAACTGATTCTAAGGTCTCTATCTGTATTGCTCAGTATGGTAGTCTCTGGACACATGGGCTACTTAAATATAATTGAGTATTAGTTGACATTAAATAAAATTAAAAACTGATGTCCTTGGTCACATTTGCCACATTTCAGGTGTTCAGTGGTGACATGTAGCTCGTGGCTGTGGTACTGGACAACACAGAGAACATTTCCATCACAGACCGTTCTAATTGGATAGCGCTGCCTTTGACTTTCCATGGCAGTGGTCTCGGAACTATAACGATCTCTCCAGAACTTTGCCGAAGACCTCCTGGTATTTGTAGCCTGAACTGAGGGTTGGGGCAAGATTTCCAAATTGTGTGTCCTTCTTGGCTCTAGTCTCAGTCCCTGAATCGGGGAACCCAAAAACCCATAGGTCTCATTTCCCCTCTGTAATGTGCCAGGGTTGCATTTGCAAGGTGGAGCTTGCATTTTCGAGAAATACCTGTTGCAGGTACCCCTCTCCCGCCTTCCCGTGCACCAGCCCACAGCCTCCTTCCTCTGTGGATCCCCTAAACTCTTAAGGTAGGGGGATAAAGTTATCCAACAAGGTTCAGAGGTCAGCGACAGTTTTCAGGAGTCTTGCAAATTCCACCTCCTAGTGCTGTTGTCCAGGGCATTTCAGGTTAAGCCAGTATCCTTTCTTGGCTTTTGGGCACAAATTTTCATGAGTTCTATTGACATCTCAAATCCACATGCCTTTCAGACATAGAGTAACTGTGTGTGTGTGTCCCACATGCAAGGCAAGAACATGTGCTTTTCTACCACTGGGCTCCAGCTCCAGGTCCAGGTCTATCGCGACTTATACCTGTGGTCCAAATGACCTATGCCCTTGCTGTTAATTAAGGCTTTAATAACATCTCATGTATTTTCATTCTGTCCAAATTGGTCTTCTGTCCAGGAGTATTAACAAGACACGTTATATTCAGGAAACACAGATTTCTCATTTTAAGTCTATAAGGAAATAATAAAAGCTATGTTATTATCTGTGTTACCTAAATAATAATGCTGATTCTGGGACTCCAAAAAGCAAGGTTGCTTGCTCAGTTTTTCATGACTTTTGGTGTCAGAGTAAAGAATCAGACTTTTTCTGACTTAGGATCCATGGTTATTACTGCTTAAACTCTAGGACAAAGCATTAAACAGACCAGGAGATAAACAGACATTGGCTGGAACTGTCAGGAGAATTGTTTTCAGTTGCTCACAGGCAATTCCTTTGGATCCTAATTTTGGAAGATGCTACACAGAATTGCTCCTGCACCCTTTGTGTGTAACACTACAAAGCAACAGCAGGAAAGGCAACTGACACAAGTAAGATTCCGTTATCCCAAACAAGGATGGATGCCGTATGTCAAGTTGCTGAATGAAGATTCTTTGCCAAAATTAGCACTATTGTGTCTTCCCAGATGGCTTCCGGTTTTTAATCGACTTCACTTGAGCAGAATATTCCATTAGATTTATGGGTTCCCTTTGAATTTTGTAGGTAGATCTCTTTCTTAATTTATAGATGTCCTTTAAGGAAGGCTAAAACAGATTTACTTTGATTTTCAAGAAACAAAGTCAAGGCAGGTATGGTGGGGCACACCTGTAATATTGACACTCGGGAGGCTAAGGCAGGAGAAGGCTGTGAGCTTGAGGCCAGCCTGGGCTATAAAGCCTGAATTACATAATGAGACCCTGTTTCAAAAAACAAAACAAAATGAAACAAAACAAAACAGAAACCAAGTCAAAACCAGAAGTGAGAAAATATGGTGTATCTTTTCTAAATTTCTTCAACACTAAGTGAAATATCCAGGTGGATTTTCATTATATGGTTTGGCGGTTTGTCCTTCCAAGTGTGGATGGATTTGGAAAGCCCAGATGGACAGTTACGGAAGCTGAGATTCCCATTCTGGCTCTGAATTCTTTCACAACGTACGCTTCTCAGCTATGTAGAGAAATGCTGCCATTCATTCTTAAGAGTTTGGTTGAAAATACTATGAAGCTTCTTTTGGGGGAACTGACAGTTATTTTTTGTACACTGTTGGATTAAGTGATGGTCACATGTATTTCCTCATCATCTTTATCTCAGAGGGGTTTCTTCTCCCTCTTCCTATTCCTAGAGCATACATGAAGGAAAACATTCAGGTCCTGAGTGCATAGCTCAGTAAGTTGTCCTCAGGGAACAGATGCGTGTAACTACCACCCAGACCGATCAAGACTGAGAACATTACAGGCAGGAGGGGCTCTCTTAGAGTGCAAGGCTTGAGCAATTATTTTCATATGTAGGAAAACCACATTAGTAAGTATTTTGCTAAATACTGAATTTTCCAGATTGTGGATATTAGTTTATAGACTATTAACTTTAATTTTTTGAAATATAAAATCCCATGTTTGGTAAAAAAATAAAATAATGTTACATGCATAAACACACTGACAAAAGACATATTTTACCTATAATTTTAAAATGAATTTCAACATACTTTTTCTGATGTAGAGAGAAGTCACTCCAGGTTTGAAAGGCATGTGAATTCAGGATGTAGACAGAACATATGTATAGTGTGTGTGGGGGGATTCTGGGCATAGAAACCTGAGCCTTGTGCATACTAAGCAAGCATTCTACCACTGAGCTATACCTCCAGCTATGGAAATATTTTAAAGCAACTGGTGGTGCCACTTATTTCAAAGCACATATCATAGTATAGGAGGTAAGGCGTCATTCTGTGGTCTGAAATTCTGTTTAATTCTTCTGGCCTGGCTCATTAGCTCTATTTATAAGTCCTTAATGCAAAAGTTAACCTCTACAATCTTATAATTGTAAAATCCTTCACTGTTATTGCTAAAAACTAGTCTTTAATATTATTTACTCCACACTCTCCTCTTCACGAAATGGGGTTGTCAAAGCGTGGAGAAATGAAGTGACACATCCCAGACTGTATGATAGACACACCCTGTGTAAGCACAGGGATGCCAGGTATAACAGAAAATTCCTTTGCCAAAACCTGAAAGTCAAATTATCACAAAGTAGCATGAATCACCCAAGCTGGTTGATACCAAGCCTGGCAGACTCTCTGAGCTATGACATACTATTTCCTAATTTTAGAGCCAAGAGGAAGGACTTCCATGTTAGTGAACTTGGTTCTCACAGCAAAAGAATTCTGGCCCATGGAGACATTTGATGTTGTTTCCAGGAATGTTGGGAGCCCAAAACATCATACAGTGGTGACACAGAAAGCTAGTAGAGGAGAAAGCCAAGAATAATGACTTGTTTCAGAAATACTACAAGGTAAACAGAAGAAACTCTTTAACAAGTATTGCATGGTGTGATTAGCTCCAAAGATTTATCTTAGTGATTGCTATAAAATTCCCTGATAGAATGATACAGAAGATAAGGATTTAATGTGTTATGCCAACTAAACAAAACACACGTATATACACAGGCATACACACATACACCCCAAACCCTTGACTAAGTCTTAAGGGTAGCGTGGGTCAGCCAATCCTTCTTTATCCCATTTATGTAGGACAAAAATGCCATCAATCTAGGGCTTTAAGGATCTGGCAGAATACATTTCAGATGGAAGATAAGGAGGTAAGAGGTTGGCTGAAGGTTCCCAGCAGAAGTGAGACCTGAGACCAGCAGGTTCCTCCCTGTCCCAGCTCCACTTCCTCACGCTATCTGACATTAGGCCTGTGAGCAGGGAATGAGGCAGGGTGAGGGTGCAGATACTGTCACAGTGCTGGATCTACCAGAAGAGCTTGATGTGCTGGGAAATGTCTCCCAGTTTGCAGCTACTGACTATAGCTAGGGGTTTAATTTCTCTGCATAAAAGCAGGAATTGTTCCAAGATTTAAAATTGCTCTTAACATAAAGAAATCAGTCTTCTTCCCTTCTTCCTCAGTGCGGTGATCCATGGTATGATTTGGGTTTGAACTAAGACCTTTTTTGTTTCTTTTAAAGAGATAAGAAGAGTGTCGGTCAGCTCCATGTCACTAAAAGAAAATACTGGAGGCAATTAACTTTTAAAGAGAAAGGGTTCATTTTGTCTCACAGTTTGGGAAGTTCTGGTCCATGATCAATTGGCCCCATCTCGCTGGACCATCACGTAGTAAAGCAAAACCACTCACCTCATGGCCAGGAAGCAAAAAAGCAGAGACTGGGACCTTACAATCCCATTTTAAGTCACATGCCAGGACCTCCCACTGTGCCCCAACTCCTAAAGGCCCCAACACCTCCCAGTAGTGCCGCTGTGGGGACCAAGCGTTTAACATGTAGACTTTGTGGGGACCTTCAACATATAATTTGTAGCAGAAGTAAAATCATTCTTTCCAAAAAAATAAATAAAAAGCATGAAGATGGCAGCTTTCTCGGTTTATAAGAACCCAGTATTCTGAGTTCACTGCAATGCCTCTCATCTTTGTGCATGAGTGTGAAGAATCCTTAAGGGACTCTTAACAAATGTCTCCACTGTAAATGAGCCTGTGTCTTCCCCTTTTCAGAGAAAGGAGAACTCTTTGTACCTTCTCCGAGTTATTTTGATGTTGTCTACCTGAATCCGGAAAGACAGGCTGTGGTTCCTTGTCGAGTGACTGTGCTGTCAGCCAAAGTAACACTGCATAGGGAGTTCCCTGCCAAGGAAATCTCTGCCAATGGAACCGACATTATTTACGACTTGAAGAGAGGCTTTGTGTATCTGCAACCTCATTCTGACCACCAGGGGGTGGTCTACTGCAAGGCGGAGGCCGGGGGCAAGTCTCAGATCTCCATCAAATACCAACTGCTCTACGTAGAGGGTAAGCCGGCTACCCCTGATTCCTGGATTTTAGTTACTTCACCTGGGTCCCTATCAGGAACTGCTATTCTCTGTTATGAGTGGAAATATGGAGGCATAGAACGCTGTTCTGATGGGCTTCCTTACTGCATTTCTTTCCACTTCTGAATGTTCTACTACTTTGCCCTGACTCCGACCCAACACTCTTTTATTGCTGCTCTCCACATTCTCCCACCATAGCTGTGATGCGGCCTGTGTTTGATCAGTTCCCTGTATCTCCAGTCTCCTCTTGAACATCCTCCTAGCCTTTGTTTTAACCAATCCCCTCCATTTCTTTGATGGTGCAGCATGTGGTAGGCAGCCACTCAGGCCCCCGTTCCCCCATCTCTCCCAGGACTCTTTCCCCCTGAGCTGGTGGCACAGAGGCAGGCTGTTGAGCAGATCCCTCCCTGGGGCCCTCTTTCTCCCTTGACTTCCTCAGCAGAGAAGGTAGACTTTTCCACGCACTGTGGCCTCTCCAAGGTGACTTTCCTTTCTCTGAGACCTCTTCTGCTGCTGAGAGGTGAGTGGTTGTGAGTGCAGTGGAGTCCTTCCCATGTCTTTATAGCTCTTAAGCAGCCCTGTGGACAAATGCACGGCCCAGAGCTAGCTTTCTCTGAAGTTAGAATTAGGCCTCTAATGCCTCCTGTTCCCAGCTGTGAGCCTTTTTCAGTAGGGCCTGGCCACTCCCTGTTACCACGTAGCTCTCACAAGCTGTCTCTGACCACCCTCAGTCCTCCGCCAAGGCCATCCTCTCTCTCCCTGAAGCCAGACTCCCTGAAAGAGCCCTCTGTACTCCCTGGCTCCACTTCCTTTCTCCCACACACGCCTCAGCACCCTCCTGTTAGCTCTCTCCCCATCCTCCACCAGAACAGCCTTGCCAAGGATCTCAGGGACTCTAGTGCTGTTCACCTCGGCAGACAGTGTCTGTCCTCATCCACCCAGAGTTCACCCCTCCTGTATCAGACTCCGCTTTTCTGCTCATCCCCTTCTGCTGGCGTTCTCACTGCCTTGTCAGCTCTTGGCCTTCTATTCTTAAACACCAGGGCACCCCAAGGACCCCTTCTTTTTCACTTCTTGAATTCTTCCTGGGAATCCTCACCCATACCCATGGCCTTATTTATATCTATACATTAATACCTCTTGAATGAGTACCTGTGGCCCAAAGCCGTGAGCACTGAGTTCGTGTCCAGCTTCCGTCTGCCTTTGGGTGCTCTACAGGCCGCTCAGCAGTGACCTCAGCACACCCTCTCAGGTCTGGTTCTGCATTCTCTGCTTCAGGGCTGACAGCACATTTTCTCAGTATGCAGGAGCATGGCTCAAAATCCAGGCCAGCCCCTTCTCTTCTTATCCTTTAGTTTTTCATGAAATCATTTTCAAAGCCTATGGTTTCCTCTTCATCCTTACTATGAAAAGGGTTCAAGTTATCATCTACTTCTAGAACAACTATGAATACCTTTCTAAACATGTCCTCTTTCTCCAGTCAATTTTCCACACTATTGTTGATTTGCGGGGGGAAGGGGTAACCAGGGACCAAACTTGGGACTTTGTGCTTGCGAGGTAGGCGGCGGCCCCACACCGTTGTTGATTATAATTCTAATTAAACCATCCTGTAGGTGTCCATTTCTCATAGAGCCACAGTCACAGTTTTCCATGTGGCCTGCACAGGCCACACATAGCCTGCCCTACCTCTGTCCTTCTCACCTGCCCAGCCTGGCTCCTCTTCCTCCCTCTGCTGCCTCCACTAGGGGCAGGGCAGCCTGCATTTCACCTTATGGGCTGTGCACCCAGGGATTTCTGGCCTGCCCGTCCCCCGTTTCCCCATCCAAGTCTTTTAAGCTCACCCTTGAGATTTTGCTTCCTTTGCTCAGACTTTGCTTTCTCCAGGAAGCCTTTCCTGGCTCAGAATATTCTGAACTTTCGGAGCACTCTGGGCTTCTCCTCCATGACTCAGCACAGTCAGTTTTAAACAAACCATGCAATGACTTGCTTAGCGGCCCCTCCCCTGCAATGTACACGCAAAGGGCACGGAGTCCACTTCTGTCTTGTTGGTTTCTGTGATCCCAGCTTCTAGTACATTGCTTTGCTCAAGGCCACCATGAAAATCACTCATGAACAAAGAAATAATGAAGAAACAGGCTTTCTGAAATGCTCTGAAGTAAATGCACTGCAAACACAGGTAGCAGCAGTGCCCTTCCTAAGAACATCTTTCTTACCTGTGTATTTACTTAAGACTTCTGTTTTTCTGAGAATGGATGGGTACACGTCTGTGTGTCCACCTCCAGCCTTCCTGATGCTACCATTCAGCTGCCTTCATTACGTTGTTCTTGCTCTTACCTCAAAAACCTTTTCCCCCTCACCTTTTTATTCCCTTCACATGAGCCCTGGCCAAACCGTTAGCCCTCTCCCCTGACTCTAAGCACGGTGGACGCCGTTCTGCACCATCTGAGAGAAGCAGAGGTCGCTTCCAAGGAAACTAAAAGTAGTGGGTTAACACTGGCCTGGTGTTGGTGGGGGAGCTGTAAGATAGGCAGAAACGTTACATCTCTTGCCAGGAAGAACACACGTGTAGGTTTGTCTTTACTGTCGTACTCGTGGAGCTCACCTCACACTCCGTCTCCTGCTCATTTCCAGTCCCCAGCGGTCCCCCATCAACAACCATCTTGGCCTCCTCAAATGAAGTGAAAGGTGGGGATGACATTAGTGTGCTCTGCACTGTCCTCGGGGAGCCTGATGTCGAGGTGGAATTCAGATGGATCTTTCCAGGGCAAAAGGTAAGCGCCGTACCTGGCTGCAAGCAGCCTTTTAAAATCACTTTTGTCCCCATGCAGTGCAAAAAATGTGCGGGGCTACGGTAGGGGCCAGGGCTTGTTTTCATCTGACACCATGGTGGCGAACCTCTGGCATGTGTGCTGCCGCAGTGGGCTGTTGTGATCAGGGTCTCCACCACTGGTCTGAGGTGTTTCAGTGTATTTACAAAATGTTTTCTTTTAAAGGACAAAAAAGAAAGGGGATTGGTTGCATCGGGAGTTCAGCATGTGCTCTTCATATGCAGTTGTTTTTATAAGCCCTCATGAAGAAGGGACAGTGGCCTGAAAGAGGGAGGAGGGACCTCAGGCTTCAGCCTGATCTTTTGTGTCTACTAAACACTAACCTTACCTCCTTCCGGTGTTGTCAGAATATTCTCCATCCACGCTATGCCGTGAGCAGATACCCTAGTGGGCATACAAATATAGGCTCTATCAAAGAAAGGTGCTGTGAAGCCAGAGATCACTTAAAAATAGACTTTCCATAAAAGCAACTACAGCTCATTTAGCCTTTGTGCATGTTCTGCTCATTGAAATCAACAGCTTTGCTACCAACATGGAATACTCCCTCCAGTGCCAGAAGGTATTTCACTTCTCAGTAGCCAATGTACTTCTGATCTAAGAGTTGTAATGAGTGGGAAATAACTATCCCTGAACAGCAATATTTTCCAGCATCCTAGTACCAGGTACTTGTTATTAAAAAGTGTTGCCACGCTGGTACAATGTTAATGATTCCCAACAGAGGGCTGGTATTTTTTACATTGTTAATTTCTATTATTAACAGTAATATTCGTATTAAATAGGTTCAGAAAACACTACATTTTTATCACTAAATTTAGCTGAAATATCTCAAAAGTGACCATTTCCTTCTAGAAAGGAATGTCATAAAATCCACGGCATCATTTTATCCTTCAAAGTACAACTTCCCGCCCTCTGAAGTCCCATGGCTCTTATGCTTAATTGTACGTCTCCTTACAATGAGTGCTTTGGGCTTTCTGATTTTACACTGTGAATAAGAACCACTTGGGGAGATTAAGTGAGCAATATAAAGATGGAAGCAATGAAAAATATGGTCCATGTTTTTTACGCTCAATACCAGTTCCATTTAGAGTTCCAAACGAATACATCTTCTATTAAATATAAGCTTACTGTAAAAAAAAAAAGGGGGCAGAAAGAAATCACCAATCAGCATCCTGAAATTTAAGACTCCATCAGGAAAAAATGCAGCCTTGACTGATTACACAGTGTAAAAAGGCTCCCAGAGCCCATGAGTGCCACATACCAAATACAAAAAGCTCACACAGAAGTGTGAGCTTTGTACTGGGAGAGGAATACTGCGCTGGGTGTGTGGGAGCTGTTGAGAGCAGCTTATCCCTCTTGCTTCAGCCTGTGTCGCTGTCATTGAACAGGATGAAAGGCCAGTAACAATTCAAGATACTTGGAGGCTGATCCACAGAGGACACGGGCACACCACAAGAATCTCTCAGAGTATCATCACAGTGGAAGACTTTGAGACCATTGATGCAGGGTATTACATCTGCACTGCTCAGAATCCCCGAGGACAGACTACAGTAGCCACCACTGTTGAGTTTTCCTGACTTGGGAAGGGAAGGATCATGAACTGATGGAAAGCCCATTTGTGTACACAATCAGCCTGGGGCTTCTTTTTATTAGTGCTTTGCCAGAGGTTGATGCCAATGCCAAGTGGCAATCCCTGCCTGTGAGTGAGACCCAGACAGCCAAACTAAAAGGAAGTCATCCATCTATTAACAGAAGTGTTAACTTTTCTAACAGAAAGCATGCATTTTGATTGCTTACCTATGTCCCTGTTTTTTATACTAAAAAAGCATATACACCAACAACTTTATATATAATCATGTCTATTAAATGAGCAAGTTTTTGTAAAAAATTAATGGGTTAAGTGCTTGTTTTTTAAGTTGCCTCGGAGGATAGCAAGAAAGATTTCTTGGCAGCAACACTTTAGTCAATACATAGGGTTCTCTTGGATGCAACAATCCTACTACATCAGATTTAGTGTATTAATACGTAGTTCAACCACTTACCTACAGGCAGCGACTTCAGATTAAATGCTTAGACGTATCACTTTTCCTCAGTAGCAACTTTAAAGCTAATGTGATTTTACACAGGTATTCAGAAAATCAAGCATACTTCTTTTCTTTGTAAATGGGTGCACGCTAAAGTCCTAATTTTAGATTATTCGATAAGAACTAGAACATGTGTTTTTAGAAGTTTAGCTTTCAACATAAAATAGATAAGACAGATAAATAAGAAATATTTAATTTTTTTAACAGTGTCAAAAATGTATTTGAAAAGTGAAAGGGGTAAAGGGAAAACTGGCTCCGCAGCGCAAACTTGGGCCAAGCAAAAGAGGAAAGGAGAAGGAGCAAAAGTAAAAGTCCACGCTGGTCTAGAACACACAGGATGGGTTACTGTGAAGAGTCAAGAAATAATTAACCTCGTCTAGGCCCATCTTCAAAGTATTTAGACGGCAGCATATTAAAACCAGGCAAAATTTATTTCTTGAATACATGTCTTTGAATTTAAAAAAGCTCAGCCTATCTCTAACTCTGTGAGCCAATTTTCGTCCATGACAAATTCTGTGGTTTGGACTAAAAATTCCTGTGAAATGGCTTAGGAGTCAGTGACATTTTGGAAAGTGAAATAGGTTAGAGTCTGCAATTCTTATATTGAATATTCCAGCATTATTTATTTGATCAAAATAAAATACACTTTGCATCACTACAAACGGCACAGCTACCATTGTTTACACATCTATTTTTATGACGTGCCAACATTGCATCCTGTGTGAAACGTTTGGTTTAAACAAATCTCAAAAGTTATCTATTTTATTTCCTATCTTCTCTCCTGTTGTCACCCATCCTCTGAGGACATTTTTATTGATTGCTGTAAGATTTCCCAGACACCTAAACAATACGGAGGAGAACAGGGAATAACACGAGATTACCATGCATACAGGATGAACGGCAAACCCAACTTGGGCTAATGTCATTGAGAACAATATAGAAGTGAGAGCAGACATTCCAGGAGCTGGCAGGGAATCTACGAGCCCACTTATCAGAAGCAAACATGGAAGGTTACATACGTAATAAACTATCGGAGGTTAAAGACATAAAACACAATCACTAATTAAAATAAACATGCATGATGAATATCGATGGGCTATGTAATGTACATGTAGCGGATGACTCAAATGCCCACCTCTAGTGTCCTAATCTGTTCTTGCTATAGGGGCTATTTGCACAGCCATCCAATGCAGATTAGTAAATAACTGACATCACAAGGTTGACACATGCAGGGAGGGGAGGAAAAGCCACAGTTGTCCTTCTCTTTCCCAAAGCTTTGAGCTGGGGGTACATGAGGGAATTTCTAAAAAGAAGTTCAACTTGGAGAATTTTCAAGCCACATTTTCTACATGTCAGCTGGCTATTCTGTACCTTTCTAAAGAAAGAAAGGAGTGCTCGGAGGTTACCCTCAAACCAGCACCATCTTCCCAGCTATTCTTTTCCATTAAACAGTGTTATTGGCTTAATCAAGGTACTTTTACTTATCAATAAACGCTGAATCCTATCTTTCTTAATTCTAGCTAGGAACTTCCTTTTTTTTCATTATTTTATGTGAGAGTTTCCAAAATTGTGTATCAGATCCAAGCCTTAGTTCACATGGGAAATGAGTTCAGCACCTCGGAAAATAGCTGGCTCTGGAAAGGCATAGGTAGGAGGTAGAAGGTTTGCTTTTGTGGCTGTGGATGGTAGAGAAAGGAAAGGGAGAGATAAGGATAATGCAAGGGAAGAGTTTACATCTGTAAGGACAGTTTAGCTCAAAGGCAAAAATAAGGCCTTGGTACTGCCCTTTTTGTTTTTACAAATTAAAAAAAATTAGCATTGTATATTTGCACGTAGCCTGAGAAAATGGATCATAGTATAGTGTTAGGATTACATAACTCACAGAAAAGTCTGGTAGTTTAAACTGATGAGGCTAAACACTGAAAAACTCTCAACAAATTACTCCAGAAAGATAAGCAGACTATACAGCCATTGAAAAGTCAGAGCTTTTCTTATCTTACCCTCTGCGCTATGTCACAGGGTTGAGTAAAGTCGATGGTAGGTAATTATAACTCAAGCAACCATTGCTTTGTCTTCTCTGGCTTTTGCTGAAATGTTGAGCTATGATCTGATTTAGTACATACCCAGCGATATTGAGCTTTTGACTTCTGTCCCACAGTAAAGAAGGCGGCTGCATTCGACACGTGACACTCTCATATCCGTTCCATCCATCTACCCCATCCACAGTCAGAACGAAAGAAAAATCACAAGAAGGTGTCTGTGGGGAGGAATATTATAAAGGTTATAAATCTTTATCTAGATAGGGCCCTGAGAGTTTTTCTCCTTAAGCTTAGGTGAAGAAGGCAATGAACAAGATTCTCTCGTTCCTTAAGTGCTTTGTGCGACAAGTTCCAGGTCGATTCTGAAATCTTTTTTAGAGGAATCTTTGGACCAAGTCAAGTCTCCCTCCAGAGTTCCAGTCTCCTAGGTAGCCGATTTGGGCGGCAGCAGCTGCCTTCCAGTTGTCCTGCAGAAATTCCACATGAGCTAATGTAGCTCTTGCTCCCATGATGGTCTCGCAGACCCGCATCCACCTGCCCTCAGAGTCTCTCAGCTTCCAGCCAGGGTCATCTGGGTGAAACGCTGGGGCTGGGGAAGGAGCCCGAATTCCTGGGTGACTGCAAGGGGGTGGCCGAGGATGTGGGGGACCTCTTGGGGCTGCACAGGTCCCCATTGTGCAGCTTCCACAGCAGCTCCTCGTTCTCCATGGAAAGTCGCTTGTTGACTTTTGACTCCTTTTCCAGCGACTCCTGCAGCACAGCCTGCTCGGTGGAAAGTTGCCTTCAACACAAAAAAGATCCAGAAACCACGGGAATTTAAGTTAGGAATGAACTTGAAACATTTTGCCATTTTAAATTTGAAAGTCCCAAAACACAGCAGTGGGAGAAAACAGAATCCCGCAGGTCACAGGTATTAAAGCTGCCTAAACCCAGCCAGACACTAACCCCAAATACCTGAAGCACAAGCCTAAGCAAAAGAGAATTTTTAAAAGGGGGCTGCACTTTTGGGGCAGTTTGTAGTAGGCTATGTGACACGGGTACAGTACATGTTTTATGACTGTCTTCTATTTGGAGCTGTTTTCTCTTTAAAAAGACTTATTTATCTATTGGTGCTGGGGACAAGGCCCTGTGTGTTCTGGGCAAGTGCTCTGTCCGAGCACTACCCACAGGCCTGTGTTCTCAGTCAGTAAGCCAGGGACTCTGGGAGGAGGGTTCCCCACTTAGGTCTCTGTTTGGTTCAGGCCACTTTGGTAAAAGCAGGAACAGATCGATCATATTTTTCATATTTGGGGAATTAGTATTTTTTTTAACCACTCGCTTCAATTACATGTCCAGAGGGGACATGGTGAAGTGTACAATGAACTAACATGTTCAAGGATGAGGGGTAATCGGCCAAAACGGGACTGGTCTATTTACCTTGAAATTGCCATGTGCTTGTCCATCCGAGCTTTTAATTCCTCATTCTCCTGCTGGGATCGCTTCAGTTTGTCAACCAGAGCTGTGTTGTTGTCCACCTTGGTATAAAGAATTCCAACCTCTATTATACAGTAGTGACGCACATAATTCCTTTCGTTCTTAAGACATATTCCTGACACAAGCATACTTAGGAGAGATTAACTAAGGAAATTTAAAAGCACATTGAGATATTTATACCCTGACACACAACAAAAAAGACTCCAAAGCAGCAAAACAAAGTATGTAGATACTGTGTATTTAAAGCAAGGATGCCAGGCTGCTTAAAAACTGACATGCCCAGGTCACGCTTTCAGAATCCCCTCTGAGAGCTGGTGCCCTGCCCTGGCCTGGGGAACCTGGGCACAGGGCCCGTTCTCTTTTAAGGTGGTACAGCAAATCCTGCAGCTCAGCAGCCTGTGTTTGTCACAGCTACAACATCTTCCTGTCACGAGTTTTGGGGGATAAACTCCAAAAAACAACTCACATGAAAACTCATACATCAACAGTTCATAGTTCTTGGCAGCATTTAGTAAGGCCTTAAATACATTTCAGATCGCGGGGTTACTCTTCAGCATTTACCTCCGGGTGGCCACACAAAGCTACACAGAACATCAGATGAAAGGAGTAACACTACAGAAGGTCTCTCTCCTTGGCTCAAAGCAAAATACAGCCACTCTCCTGCCCACACTAAACTTTCAAGGGGAGCAGACTGATCAGCTGAGAGATTAATGGATAAGGTCCCTGACCACATTTAATCACTTAACACTTAACACTTAACTTCCATCTCAGCTCACTTTCTAAAGATACTATTGTATTACTTAACAGGCAACATCGCAGCTTGGTCAGAATTAATCCTAAGGTTCTGTCACTGCAGCATTATGATTATTCTACTTGGATTAAAGGCCTAGTTTGGATAGCTATTATTCTGAAGACACCCTAGTGTCCAGAAAATGCCCAGGGCAAGCCATTCAGGTCAAACAACTTTCTAGAAAACAAGTTTAGAATGAAATAAAAAGGGACTATGAAATTCTCAGTAACTATAAAGAAATTAAAAATAAAAACAAGGTGGAAAAATTTGGAGTTACAGACTGAGTGGTGATTGATCTTAAAACTACTATCTGGTCCATTCCTTCATATTAAAAAAAAAAGGGAACTAATCCTGAAAATGTCATAGATTATTATTAATTATTGGAAGAGCAGTTTTCATATTCATATCAAGATTTCTTCTTTCGCCGGGCATGGTGGCACACACCTGTAATCCCAGCACTCAGGAGGCTGAGGCAGGAGAATTGCTGTGAGTTCAAGACCAGTCTGGGCTACGTAGTGAGTTCCAGGTCAGTCTCAACTACATAGTGAGACCCTGTCTCAAGAAAAAACAAAACAAAACAAAACAAAAAGATTTCTTCTTTCGTCAACTTCATAGGCTTTCTCAAAGGCCTAGACCTTACAGGTAGATAAGGTGTCAGTGGATGTAGCTGTCAGCATAGCAACACATTTTTGTGTACAAACACATAACAATGGTACACCAACTGATATTAAAATGAGACCTCTTGGATGTGACAAGAAACAGAAATACTATGGATCAGATCAACAAAATAATTAAAGCATGTTATAACTTCTACAACAGAGTCTATTTTATTGCACATGATCTTCTAGAAAGTTCTGATGCTTAAATGGCATATGGAGCAACAAATTATTAACAGGATAATCTGACTGCCTGATTATCAGGGCTATCATACCGGGTCTAACAGGGTGACCTCTGACAGCAACTGGTACACCTACTAGGTTGGGCCTATTAACCATAAGTTCCTTTCGGTTCTTAAAACAAAGACAAAAAACAAGATTTCCTTATACTATGAAGTGTTTATAGACATATGTACACATAGACAAGTCACAGTCTCTAGAAGAAAACCAAACCAAACTAAATCAAATCTTTGAACTGTAAATGAACAACAACAACAAAAAATCATATAAGAGCAACCTCCAGGCTCCCTATTATTCAGGGCTGCTCCGGGTTTGAAAGAGGAACTTATTATGAGTCACCCATAACTCGGGGGAGCAAAGGCAAGTAGTGTTGGGTAACCGGCACAATCAGGGGCAAGGACAGCAATGCCTGGGATCACTTCGGCTCTTTAACAGACCTGCCAACTTGGTTAGAGTGCGACTAGCAGCAGCTGTGTGTCGAGGCCAAGCCAAGACTGACAAAACAGACTTGGCAAAGCTCCTCAAACACACGGTGCTGGGCAGACTCGCCTCACACACATTTCGGTTCTCTATCCTGCAGGCTGTGAATTAATTTTTGTTCATATTTTTCACAATGCTTGCTATTTGTTCAACTGGATGAATCTTATTAAAGCATAATGATTTTACATTTTATTTTACTGGAAGAAGGATGAGGATTTAGATAGACTACATTGTTCCAATGAGATTAATCTATATATCCGACTTTCTTGGACACAAATCTGCCCAGAGTTGGTGGTATGTTAAAATATTGATTTTATATTATTTAAAATGCTTTCTTATGCAGGTAAAGATTCACACACCACTGAACATGAGCTCATCTGTTTGTTATAGTTTACCCAAGAACTGAATGCTATTTTAACATGGTCTTTGACAAATAAATGTTCAAGAAGGCCACAATAAATCAGCCTTGAACAAACTTGGAGGAGAAAATGTAACTTTTACCTTTTGTATGATTTCAAATATCTTTAGCAGCTAACTCAAGACCTCAGTTCTAAATTTCCAAGCTCAAATCCTATTTCGTAAGTATTACCCCATTTGGTAAGATCCTCAATCCACTGGCCTGAAGGAGACATACCAGTTTTTCCATTTTCATCAACTTGACATCCTGCTGATGCAGTTTCTCATTCTTGATCTCTAACACAGCTTTCAGGCTTTCTAGTTCTTGTTCCAGATACATGATCTGAGGGTTTTTCTGGAAAGAATACAGCAAGACACTGCTCTGACTTATTTCACAAAATCACATAGTCCAATTCTTACCATACAGAATCTTTGATTGGATTTAGACACTGGATGAACAAGTAGCAAGGAAATTCCTTCCTCTCAACAGCAATGTCAAAGCAACAGGTGATAAAGAATAATAATATCATTTTAATCTCAAATAATTTGGTTATATTGAAAACAAAATGATCACTTATCAGTAATATGGAAAAATATCTATTGTATCAAATATGTTACTAGAAACAGTAAGAAAACCGTTGCTTACAATACAAGAAGAGAGGTCTGACTAGAGACCAGCCAATTAAGGTGTTTACAGGGACAAAAGGGAATAGTAGTTCTCTCTAAGCAAAGCCAGTACCTGATCAGAAAGGGAACAATACTACATTTATAGATCTCACTCGAAAATAATCAAAATAGTAATCAGGTCTTGAATCTGAGTTTTTTTCAGGATGGTGCCATTTGACCTGTCAACTTACTAGGCCAGTCATAACACTCATTTTATATTGCAATATCCCATTATAAAACTATAGTGTTACATGGCAAATAGCACCCACTCTACTATGATTCTTCCCAAAATGAATTCTTACGAGGAGAGATATCTACCCTGCTCCTTGCTTAATGGATTTCAAGGGAACCATCCAAAATTTTGATACAAATTAACAATACAAGATCTATTGGTAAGCTGTTTAACAAGAGAATTTCTTAGATAAGATTCAGTGTTGTGGTTATCAAAACTACCCTTTAGGACAGTCGATTCTATTTTGGACCAATTCTTTAGGAGAATCCAAACCCCTTTCCTTAAAGAAAGATGAAACCTGTTCCAGAGGTTAAAAGATTACTCAGAAGAGGTCAGGAAAGTTACCAGAGTCAGAAAGGGTCAGGACGGGCAAACATCCAGATCTTCATTTCCAAGCTTTACAAAACTCTCATGTAATATTTTTACATATGACTTAACAGAAAATAGCAAAGCTTACTTTATTTTTGTTGGAGGGAAACAGCATAATTTCCTCTGTCCATTTTATTTATTTATTTTTTTTTTTGGTACCGGGGATTGAACTCGGGTCCTTGCACTTGCAAGGCAGGCCACTGAACCGCTGAGCTGAATCCCCGACCCCTGTGTCCATTTTAAATAAGAGCATTTATAGCCAGTACCTCTGAACCAGTCCTTACTTCTCTGTCAGCCTGTCTCTTTCTGATCTCGCTGCTTTGTGCTCTTTTTCTACAACCTCTGATGCTGAGGTGGGCAGGGTTCTGGGTATTACTGCTCCCCTCTACCTATTTCCTTCTCACCTTTGCAAAACTGGCTGCAGCAGAACTGTGTGTTCCAGGAGGCTCTTTAAAACCTATTCCTTGAAACATTAGTAGGTCTACACTTGGCATGTAAATCTAGGTTTCTTTTCTTTGAGACAGGGTCTTTCTATGTAGTTCAGGCTGACCTCGAACTCACTATGTAGCCCGGGCTGGCCTTGAACTTGAGGCAATCCTCCTGCCCAAGCCTCCTGAGTGTTTGGATTACAGGTGTGCACCACCACACACTGACTTGCTAATATTCCTCCAGAATAAAGAATTTTGAAATTTCCTTGAACATGATCTCAGTTAATTTTGTCAAATGTCTAGAGGATTGTCAAAGCCGATTACTGGAAGAGGGTCTCACTGAGAGCTCCACAAATGTACCTGGACAGCGGGCAACAGATTTTAAGTGTCAACAATGCTTTTCTTCTGCAGTTCTAGAGCATAAATGTATGGAATGAAAACAGTAGTACTAAAGACGTAAGCAGGAAGAAATACCCGCCCCCCCCGGTAAATAAGGGTGAGAGTAAGGATACAAATTGTAAGAGAAAGCTGAGTTTACAAGAAAAATCTGTACTTTGCCAGAGACAATCACCCATGAGATGACACTGTACTCTCGTCCGTAAAGAGGAATGAGGTGCTGATGTGCACGGCCACACAATAACCCTGAGAACAGCACATTAAGTGAAGAAGACAATGACAAAAGGCCATATATTACATGAGTATCTTCACAAACTGTCCAGAATAAGCAAATCCACAGAGGTGGATTATAGATAGGTGGCTGCTTAGTGCTGGGGTACTGGGGGTGGGGGGTGAATGCTAATGAACTGAGGACTCTTTGGGGGATGATTAAAATGTTCTAGAATTAGGTACTGGTGACCAGTGTACAACTTTATGAATATACTAAAACATACTGAATTGTTCATGCAGTGGCCTCTCAAGTTAACTGGCTTGACATACAAACAAGTTGGGTTATTATTGGATTTTTCAGTTTTAATTTATGACCAAAGTCTTGAGCTACAACCTGAATGCCAGATGCTTGTGCTTCCAGATGCTCTCAGATACAGATTTAACCTTTAAAGAGTTCTGGAAGGAACATTATAACATCCTTTCCTTTATGGGGTTAATTGAGAAATCATGGGCCAATGTCTCTCTAAGAACACTGAGATCTGCCGGCATACAAGAGACTTTGAAGGCTGTGCCGAGGACCCTGAGACTTCAGTTGACCAACCTGAGTAACAACCAGCCCTACTGAAGGAACTGAGTCTGTAAGTCAAGGGTCCACTGTGTTTTTTGCTTTTTTGAAACAGGGTCTTGCAATATAGCCCAGGCCAGTCTTGAACTCATAACAATTCTCCTACCTTAGTGTCCTGAGTAGTGGGATTATATTTCTGCACCACCACACCTGGCTTGAATTCTGTATTTTAAAATGGTGAACCTTGTGGTATGTAAATTATATCACAGTTTAGTGGTTACCAACAAAATAAGGTCTTTACATAAAAGATTGGAAGTTTTCTTATTTTCCTGTAGGTATTCACTTAGACCAACCAAAACATGTTGGATTTCATATGTAAGTCAGGGATGTAAAAAAGAGGCACCAATGAACAAAGAAGTTGTTTTAACCAGTTACACGCACACACACACACACACACACACACACACACAAACAAACTGCAAACTCCAAACCTGTATTATTTCTCTGGCTTGCAGCCCTAAAAAAAAGACAACTGAGCAAAAGAAAAAAATCAGCAGTGACAGATGAGCACAAAACTCACTAAATTTGCTTTGTCTCTTGATACTCTTTTCTGTTCTTCTGATTTCAGTTTTTCATTTAAAGCATCATTTTCACTCTTCAGATCACTGATTTTTTTCTAAAACACAATGACATGTAAAATGTCAGTTAATACGAAGATACCAGAAACAGAACAGAGACACAGAAACATATACCCAAGCCACACAGACATCAAGAAAGACGACGTGGAGGTGGGGGCTCAGATTCACCCACCTCCAGTGATTCTTGCTTTTCATAAAGTAAATTCTCAAGTGATTTCTTTTCCATTTCATGGCTTTTCTTGATTTCTGGAAAGAAGGAATTTTTTTAAGGCAACACCATTCAATGAGATCATCGTACTGCACAATTACCGAAGGATATAAAGTAGGAGCTGATTATGAAGTTACGACTGTGTTACTTTACATCTGTCCAAGGCTTTTTTGAAATTGAGTGATCTCTTCTCAGAATAGGCTTATGAGGTGGGTAGGGTAGAGGTTCCACCTTACGACTGGGCATGCCGAGACCCACACAGGCCAGGAGACCTTAGAAAACAGAATGAAGGTCAGGGTCTCAAGACACTGCCTTCAGACTTGTGGTCAATTTGCACTTCTTGAACCAAACAGAAGTCTAAAAGAAAGCACATTCCTAGCAGGAAGAAGGAGAAAAACAGTGTTTACTAAATGTCTACTTTGAACCAGTCACTTTTATATCTCGTCATCTGTGACATCACATCGCTCTGTCTTTCTGATAAGTCCTACTACAGGTCAGACAGCCAGCCCCTAATACACACCCATGTGCTGCTGTGTAAGACGCAGCTGGCTTACTGTAAAGACCACAGCTGCACTGTGACTAGGTTCTGGCAGACTGGCTTCTTGGGTTTTTTCCTTCCATTTCAGCCTTTCTGGTAATGAGAGGTGAGATAATAACACAAGGTTCGCTATCCTTCCAACAAGTGACATCTGCATGTCATAGCAGCACTGGTGTGCAAGAGGGCTTCGTGTGGATCCTATACGTGGCCAGGGTTCAACTAACATCTTCGACTTCCCAGGAACCTAAAATAGCAACCACCACTCACCACCACAACCAAAAAGGCCTTTCAAATCTTTTTCCTAAAATCTTGCATTTATAACAAACTACTATTTGACTGCTTGGCATCAAAGGGCGTCGTTAAACGATGAACAATGCAGAAAGAAACCAAAACACCCCAAACAAATACCACAGGGCATTCTGTAAGGGGAAAAGTCATGAATCATTTCCATCTTCAAAAAATAGCAAGCTTTTCCATTGTATTATTTTAAGTTTAAATAGCAAGAAAGGATGCTTGCCTGAAAGGGAGGTTTCATAGGCTTGCTTTAACAATTCTATTTTCTCCGAGTGGCTAGCTTCAATTTCCAACTTAGAGGTTTCATGGGCAGCATTTAAGTTGTCAAACTGTAAGAAGGAAACAACATGAAAGTTTACCAGGAAAACAGAAAGGCCCAAGTTGAATAAACAAAAAGCAACATCAGGAGACTTTATATATATAAAATATATTTGAGTTCATGGGATACCTAATGCATATAAACCACAGCCCACACAGAGAAGCCACTGCCAACTCTCCATGCTCTCCTCCCCAGGGACACAGAGCACACACTCTGCAGAGTTCACTGACCATAGGCGTGAGGGTATGTTTCAGAGTGACAGGGCCACCTAAGCACCATTCCTGCCACATAGTTCACCATTATCCTCAGCTCCATCTCACGCAGTCGTAGGTTATATCACTGTATCAGACTAGTAGGCACTCTGTAAATTTCCACTAAATTAAAAACTACACTAGAAAATTAAAAAGTTTACAGCATACCAGTTAATGGGAGGAAAGGATTAATTTTAAAGTGCCATTTTTTAAAAAAAAAAAAAAGAAGAAATGCAAATCAATGACTTAGTAGCATAATACCAGGATACTTCCAAAGGCATTATTTCTAGGCAGGGCTTTCAAATTCAACATATGTACACCATTTGGGCCACACACAAAAAAGTCAACTAAAACTTTTTCTGCCTACTAAAGTACTAAGAAGAACTCATCCAAAGTTGTGAACAGCAATTAGAATTCAAGCAAGCAGCCATGACTGAGAACACACTCCTGTTCCTAAGGCACAGACCTGCTCTTGCAACTGAGCTTTATACTTCTCTGCTTCTTCAATGTAAATGTTCTGAAGCTTTTCGCATTCCCCAGTGTAAAATTCCTTAAGCCGATTTTCTAGTTCTGTTCGATCAGTCTGGTGCTGCTGGTTTAGCTTCTGGACAAATGCTTCATATGCTGTTTGCAACTCATTCCTGGCTTTTTCTAATTTCTCACAGGTGGTTGAAGCAGCAACTAAAAAGAGAAGAAAAGAAAAGGGAAGATACCCCTTAATTTGCTCCATGTCAATTCACAATATAAATATATAGCTGTGAAAACTTTCGCGTTAACACATAATAGTATCTCAAAATACAATAATGTCTCAGTTCTCAGCGACCAGGGTTATCATTTGGATTGTAAATGTCCCCAAACCCCTGTGTTTAAAACTTGATCCTCAGCCAATGGTGCTACTGGGAAGTGGTGGGACCTTTAAGAGGTGCAGTTCAGATCACTATTGTAAGGAACATACAGTTAGTTGGTTCCTGGGGTGAATGTCGTCTAATGGTATATGTTTGTTTCTTTGGGAACATGCCAAGTGGCAACAGATATAAATGAAGACATATTAAAACAATGACAAAATTAATGTCTACAAAGAGAAGCCCTTAAACATAAGATAAATCCATAACCATTGAAGGGGTGCAATAGTTTGGATGGTAAAGTCTTGCTCTCCAGCACGGCACCATTGGGAGGTGGTGGAGTCTTCAGGAGGTGGAGCCTAGGCAGAAAGTCTTTAGATTCCTGGGGCTGCACCCACAAAGGGGACTGTGGGACCGCCTACTCCTCTTCTCTCTCATTCTCTTCCCAACTGTGAGAGGGGTTTTACTTGGCCATGAAGTCCCCCCATGAAGCGCTACCTCACTCAAGTAAAGGGAGCAACCACTCATAGACTAAAGCCCCTAAAAACAAACCTTTTTTGTGCATGGGTTAATTACCTCTAGTGTTTGTTAAAGTAAAGGAAAGTTGACTCAGAGGGAAAGGAACTAACATCAAACAAACAAGCAAACAAATAAAACAAATAAATAAAGCAAACAAATGAAACTACTCCATCCCTGGTACAGAATAGGGCCCCATTATCTTGTCTAACCCTCCAGAGGGCCTGAGAAAATTGGATTCCTAAATACATGTATGTGTATTTAATTTTCCTGGTACACTTTAGATATACATAACACTCACCATAGGGAATTTGCACCTGTACATGATGTATCCTTTTTTTCCCCATTTCCCCTCCCTTCAACCCCTATTTACAAAAGCTGTTTCCATTTTTCCTTCTATTCTTTTTTTCTTGTTCCTTTCTTCCTTTCCCCCTCTCCCCTCCTGTTTCCCTTCCCATTTGAACATTTTTCCCCCGTTTCTCAATGTCTATTACACACTTTGGTCTTTATTTACACTTTTAGTTTCTCACACCAGAGGAACAATTTTGTATTTAAACATGTATGTCCGATTTATTTCACTTAGCGTATGGTCTCAAGGTCCATCCATTTAGCTATAAATGTCTCAAGCTTATCCTTCTTAATAGCAGAGTAGTACTACATTGTTTTTTAAAAAATCACATCTCTATCCATTCATGCATTGATGGGCATGTTTCCAAAATTTAGCTATTACAAACTGTGCTGCTATAAACATGAGTGTGTACATATCGCTGTGGTATGATGCTTTTAATTCTTTCAGGAAGATACCATGACATGGAATACCTGGGTCAAATGGAATCTAGTTTTAGTTTTCTGAGGAATCTCCGCACTGATTTCCTCAGCGGTTCCACCAGTCTACACTCCTACCAATAGTGGAAGGGTTCCTTTTGCTCCACTGCCCTGCCAGTATTTGTTGTTGATTGACTTCTTGATAACAGCTTTCCTTGCTTGAGGGAGACGGAATCTCAGCATTGTTTAATTCCATCTCTTGAATGACCAGTGATGTTGAACATTTTTATATATTTATTTGCCATTTCTACTTATTCATCTGAGAAGTGTCCATTTCAGATGCCCACTTTTGGATTAGGTCTTTAAATTTGAGGGGTTAAAATTATTCAAGGTTTATCTGTCAGGATTTCCATCTTTTTATGGCTGAATAATATTTCACTGTACTTAGATACCACATTGTAAAATATATTTAACTGTTGATAGATGTTTAGTTTGCTTCTATCATTGTCCATCGAGGATAATGCTTCTATGACTCTGGGAGCACAGATATCTCTGAGTCCCTGTTTCCAATTCTTCTGCCTATATATCCAGCAGCAGAATTCCCGGATCATACAGCAATTCTATTTTTAATTACCTGAGGGACCACCATACTCTGTTGCACAGTGGTTGCACCATGTGATAATAGGGGTGGGTGCAGGCTTCTCTATACCCTCACCAAAGCATGTTTTATTTTTTTCGAATATATGTAGCATGTGAGGTGGTACGTCACTGTCGTTTGGATTAGGCTAGCCGACTGTTCAAATGAGCCATATGATATAGATAACTTCTGGTGTCAAGAGTGACAGTGGCACTCCAACAGGGGCAACAGTGGGAGAACTGCTATATACAACACTTATGATACGAGTTCTCAGTCAGGCTTGGATCTTTCTTTCTCTTTTAAATTATTGATATCTCATATTCTAAAGGAATTAAGTGAAACGCTATCTATTGCCTTCACTGACTGGTTACAAGTATTTTTTGTTCGCCTGCTTTAAATATCTAATACAGGATGCACCATAAAGAACCTTCTGAGAAAGGACCCCATACTTGCAGTCCCACTGTTTGGTGTACACGGGGAAGTCAGTTGGCTGAAGCTACTTAACTGTATTTACTATTTAAATCAAACAGGATATCCAGAAATCCTTCCACATTAGCCACCAGATAGGGCTGTTTCCTCTGTTTAAAGCAAACAAAAGACAAGCCCCAGCTACTGTGCAATTTCGTTGTCCACCGTGCATGAGGCGATGGGAGGACAAATGGGAGGAGAGAGAAAGAAGAAAGTGGGTCGGGTGGGGGGTGGCCGGCTCACTCCTCCTTCCAACAGTCCTCAGCCACAGGCCCAGCCCCAGACAGTGACACGAGCCGCAGCCGCGCGGAGACCTCCGCTCTGTTTACCGGGCTGGGCTGTACAGTGTACACAACAGCTGGGCTGCAATTACCACTCGCACAAATGGCTTTCATTTCGACCAACTGGCCTGAGTTCCTCAGGAAACGTTTATTTGACATAGGAAGTCCTGAACTATTTTTAAAAGGATGCACATGTAAACAATGTATTAAAGGTTCTCAGAGTGCTCCTCGTCTGCTGGGCTACTGTGTGTGTAGGGAGGTCGTCACCCCGCAATTTCCGGCCATGGACTTTCCCTTGCACTTAGCACAGAACAGGCAAGATTTACAGTGCGCCTGTGCGGGCTCCCATTCCTGCCCTCAGTCCACCCTTCTCTTGCTCACTCTCCGGAGTTCTTCCTTTCAGTTCATCAAATACCCAACAAAGCCAAAACCAAATATAAAACCATCAAGATTATGGAAGAAGTAAGCACAGTTTTCCCACAGCAAGAGGTGAAAGTTTAAAGAAGTTACTACACCAATACAAAACCCATCTGCTAAAGTCAGAGGAGTCCTTTTGCCCTTGCTTTAACCATTCCTTTAGTCAGTTTTTAAAATGGCATTATGATTAAACACACCAAGAAACCACTGCCTGTAGAAGGTCTGTTTGATTATAACTTTTGTACACACAGTTGTGAAATATAGAAACTAGCTACCTTAAAATGGAAAATACAGTTTTCAGAGTTAAAAGCAAAACAATCTACCAGCTCATTAAAAAAAAATCACCTCTAAAACTAAAAAGCAGAAGTTGATACTTACACTTTGTGATAAGCCAGCCCTGAGAATTCCAGGCCAACAAAAGAAGAGGAAAAATGCAAGACCTGTCCTGATAGTTAACCATGGCTATCTAAGCAAGGAAAAAAATATTCCATATGAAGTAGATAAACGCTTGAAATTTTTCTCTTCAAACAGTTGTTTGGAAGATATAAGAAAAGTGCCACGCTAGAGTCAAGCCTAACCTCAGGGAAACAGAACCAGATTCTTCCCAGGTCCATCAGCAGCTGCCCCTGCAGAGTGAAAAAGGAGCCACTGCTCAATTAGTCCTCCCGAACTTTTGTAAGAGGGAATGGTTACACGTATTATTTCCATCTCAAAGAGACGTTTCCCTTTGTTAATAGATCAATGTTCTGTTCACCACGAAAAATATTATACAACCATGGCCTGAAATTTATATTCTTTTGAAATGAAACAGAGCCTTCTTAATTTTTACATTACAATAGCATGCTTCATATAAGACAACAACAAAAAATATTCTAATGCTCAAGAACATAAATAAATATCTTAGTAGAGTCAGAATACTTAGGTTCAAATCTCAGCCATGGCATTTATCTGCTATGTGACTTGAGCAGATTCCTTAAGCTTTCTTAGTCTATATTTCCTCATTTTTAAATGGAAATACCACCAGTGGCTTCCCTATGGAATTAAATAAGGTTAAGTCGTATGAAGCACCTGGCTCTGTGCCTGACCAGAGTAAGAGTGAGATAAAGGTTGCTTTTATTACTAACCAATTCAAATCAGATCTGAAGATTCCTCAGAGATGTGCTTGGGATTTCATAAAAGAATATAGCAATTACTGGGTGCAGCTTCTAGCTCCTCTACTACCAAACAAACAAATAAGGAAACATTCCCCAACAGAAAAAGCCCCACACACACACACACACACACACACACACACACACACACACACACACACACGAAAAGTTAAAAAGAACCATTTCTGGTCTAGTACTCAAAAAAGTTACACGTACATGCACACACATGGATGGTAGGATGTTACAGTGAGTAAACATCTACCTCAAATCTTCACCTATGGTTACTATTATTCTTGACATTATATACAACAGAATCTTCTCCTTTTTAGATTTTCCCCCTAAATCATTCCTAAAAGGAAAATAAAACAGGTAATCAGGATCTCAAGGAAGTTCAGGCAAGTTTTCATGATGCCGTACAAACACCGTGGCAGAAATAAGGCCCAAACAGGAAGAGACAACGACTCCACTTTCCAACTGCACACACGTACACACTTTCCCTAATGCTGCTGGCAAGCCTGCGGTGGGCAGCAGCCTTTAGTGAAGAGAGCACCCTTCTCTGCACTACAAGAGAAGTGAGATGCCCGTATCCAACTCTGCTTGCTGG